AGTTTCTCTCTCTAAATTTTGCAGCTATTTCCAGAGGCAACAACTCTATTGGGTAATATCAGAAACAAAAGTATGTCAAAAGTAGCTATTGAATTTTCATAGTGATCACTGTCTACTAGGTAATGCAAGAGGAAGAAAGATGCTTAACGTTACCTCCTTATACTTATACTTAATGTTACCTCCTTATACTTTTCACTCTAAAGGATATGTGCTAACCTTGAGAGGAAGCAGGGAATGATTGGTTCAGAAGCATACACTTTTAACACTTTAAAGCAACAGATAACAACCAAGCATAAGAAACGGATGCATGTGTGTTAGCAAGAAAATGAAGTGATACGGTTTCTATTGGTTTGTTTCCTGGGAATTAAAGGCATAGGTTTAACCTGTTGTGAAGACATTCCTTTACGAGCCCCATGCCTTTAAATCCAAATGTGTTCTTTTTCTTCCTGCCCAATGTTTTTCTTTCTTTGGGTGAATAGATGCCTGGTATGTTTCTTAATTCTTCTAATACACATTTCACATAACCCTTTCCACTTAAAGGCCTTACAGCATGATTCCACCCACATAAAGAAATTTTGAGAAGTTTCTTCTCTGTTCATTACTGATAGGATATTGGTTATTTGTGTAAATATATCCAGCGATAATACTTTGTTTCTTTGAGCAAGAAGTGGACATAAGCATAATATTTGAAGAGAGATGATCATAAAGTAAGACAAATATATAAATAATATTAAATTGGAAAATACATTACTGTGATATTATGAGTCTAAATAGAATTAAAGTCTTTAACAATCCTATCATCTTTTTGGTATAAGAGAAATGATGCTGTCCCTTGCTCAGCATGACCCTAACTCTGATTATAAGCCTTTTTTTACTTTTTGAGAACTATGTCATTTTTAGTAGTTTAAAATGTGCTTAAATACTTTCATTCACAAAATAATTAAAGATCTTGATTTTTTAAACACTAGACACTTTAATTTAACACCCATCATACAAGCTTCACAGTTGTCCTAATGTACATTTGTTAGTAGATAAAAATTTTGAAAATGACTATCCATTTCATTAAGACAATCCAGGGCAAATGGATTATTGCAACTTTTTGGGATATGGAACATATTGAAATGAAAATGAGTTTGTGGACTGGCATAAATTGAAACTATTTTAATATAAGTATTGATGTATTTCATTTTTCAGAACTGAATTTGGAAATTACTAATGCCAAAAGTGAACACTATTGAGAACATCCATGTGAACCTTTAAAAAAGACTTATAACATCAACAGGGATTTATGGCATAAGTGACATAGTATTTTTGATGTCACCATTCTTCTAAATCCTGATTATATAAAAATTTCATGTACACAGTATTAAAAGCATAATATAAGCCTGCAAATAACTTAACCTTACTGTAAGTTCCTCATGCTTACTTAAATATATTTGGCTGTTGAAATATTATACATTTGTATTAGACTTCCAAATTCAACAATGCATAAAAATATTTGAACATGTTAATGATCTTTTAAAAATGTTTATAGTTTTAAATTAAAAATCTCTGTCATTTGTTATATTTAACCAGAAAAAGGTTTTATGGTTACTTCTTATTAGTTTTGATTCAATGAGCTAATAGAAAAAACTGCAAGAATGAAGAAACTAATTTGATTTTTATCATGTGATCAGATTATAAAATATCCACCTGTGGAAAAAACTGGTAAACACTTTGTGATTACCACTTTTATAAACATCTGTATACATTGTTAACAGAGCATTATTATCCTTTAGATAACAGGGATCCTTTAAATGTAATACATCTATAGTTGAACTTCAGACACAAACATTTCTGCTTCATTTGTAAGCAAAACCTGCTTTGAGATTAGTAGAGCAAAGAAATAATGAATTTGATTTAAAGTAAAAATTAGTTCTTTACCTATCTTAATTTCCATTGTGTATTTGTGTGTGTGTTAGACTCTAGCATAATTTATTATCATAGTCATAATAGCCACAGAAAATCGATCTTTTTATGGTGTCCCAACTAAGACTCTTCATTTAAATTTTATTTATTTTTATGTGTATAAGTGTTCTACCTGCCTGTATGTTTATGCACTACATTCATGCCGGGTGTACACAGAAACCAGAAATGTATCAGAACCCCTAGGCCTGGAATTACAGATAGATGAGAGCCACCATATGGAGGCTTGAAATGAAACACTGGTCCCCTGGAAGAGTAGCCAGTAACCTATTAACTGCTGAGCCATTACTCCAGCCCTGAATCTTCATTTCAGGAGGGGTCTAAATATATTCTGAACTAGTCTATGGAGTCATATCTGTCTCTTTAAAAAGACATGCATTATGATTTGTTGGACATTCTAAGCATTATGTTGGTGTTAAATAGGTATATATAGTAGATACTCAGATAAGAAAATATGCATAATTAATTTGGATATAACTTAACTGGGCTACTAGAGAAATCTTTGGTGTGTAGAAAGCCACTGCAAATGGCAATGACTTTTACAAGGCAAATTAGATTTATGTTCCTTTTTTGTTGTTTCCCTTCACATTAATATTATAGAGATTACTTACTTAAATCAAACAACTAAAGTGTCATAGTTCTTTGCTAGAACAGGGATCACTTTTACCATATTTAAAACAACTCACTTGCTTTGATATGCCCTACTTATACAAATTTCAGTACCGTTGTTTGCAGTGTTAAAGAGGAAAATGAAGTCAAGTCTGATGGTTAAGATAATTTGATTGAATTCCTCTTATTCTTATATAGATATTACACTATTTTATTCTCGTAATTTTTGATATCCTTGACAATTATTACATTAAAAGAATATTTTCTGAAAAATCACATATTTGGCATTACAAATAATTTTGAAGGGGAATATGATAAACAGTATACATCTTACATTTTCATCATTGATTCAGATACAATGTAGGGCCACAACCAGATAGCATGTCTCTCTGACCTTTGTCTAGCTTAGTAATTTCAAGTGTCACACAATTAATATTATATTAAGTATTCTTTTTTATTTTTATTATTTATTTTTAAATTTAAATTAGAAACAAGGTTGCTTCACAAGTCAGTTCCAGATCCCTCTCCATTTCCCTCCCCTCCTCCCGTGCCCTCTCCCTAACCCCCCCCCAATATCCCCTCATTTCTCCAGGGAGGGTGAGGCCCTCCAAGGGGGTGTCCATAGTCTGACATTTCATCCAGGGCAAGGCCTAGACCCTCCCCCAAGAGTTCAGGGGAAAGTGCATCTCACATTGTTGGATGGGAGTCCAAAGTCCATTTGTATACCCGGGATAAATACTGATCTACTGCCCAAGGCTCAGTAGATTACCTAGGCCTCCTCACTGACACCCACATTCAGGGGGTCTTTATCAGTCCCATGCTGGATTCCCAGGCATTAGCCTGGGATTCAAGAGCTAACCCTTGTCAGGTCAGCTGTTTCTGGGGGTTAAACCAGCCCAGTCTTAATCCCTTTGGTCATCAGTCCTCCCTCTCTGTTACTGGCTTTCTTGAGTTCAGCTCAGTGCTTAGCCATGGGAGTGTGCCTCTTCTTTCATCAGCCACTGAATGAAGTTTCTGTTTCCCAGACTCTCTGGCCATGGGATTGTAGGCTGGCATTCCCCAGATCTATGTCTAAATTCCATATATGAGAGAGTACATGTAATGTTTCTCTTTTTGTGACTGGGTAACCTCACTCAGGATGGTTTCTTCTAGTGCCATCCATTTGCCTGCAAATCTCAGGATTCCATTGGTTTTTTTTTCTGCTTAATAGTACTCCATTGTGTAAATGTACCACATTTTCTCTATCCACTCTTCTTCGGTTGAGGGGTATCTAGGTTGCTTCCAAGTTCTGGCTATTACAAATAATGCTGCTATGAACATAGTGGAACAGACATTCTTGTTGTATGAATGGGCATCTTTGGATATATGCCTAAGAGTGGAGTTACTGGGTCTTGTGGTAGGTTTATTCCCATTTTTTTGAGGAATCTCCATACTGACTTCCAAAGTGACTGAACAAGTTGGCACTCCCACCAGCAATGGAGGAGTGTTCCCCTTTTACCACATCCTCTCCAGCATAAATTGTCATTGGTGTTTTTGATTTTAGCCATTCTGACAGGAGTGAGATGGTATCTCAGAGTTGTTTTGATTTGCATTTCCAGGATGGCTAAGGATGTTGAGCACTTTCTCAAGTGCCTCTCAGCCATTTTAGACTCCTCTATTGAAAATTCTATATTTAGTTCTGCAGCCCACTTTTTAATTAGATCCTTTGGTGTTTTGGAGACTTGCTTCTTGAGTTCTTTGTAAATTTTGGAGATCAGCCCTCTGTCAGATGTGGGGTTAGTGAATATCTTTTCCCATTCTGTGGGCTGCCTTTTTGTCTTGCTGACTGTGTCCTTTTTAAACTTGTAGTAAATACGAGGTGGAGTTGTCTCTTTATTTTGTTTTTGTAGTTCTGAGGGTTGAACCTAGCACCTTGCCTATGCCAAGCAAGCATTCTACCATTGAGGTACACACCTAGCCCCTTAGAGGTTTCTGTGTTAAAATCATATGTCAGCCTTTACTTTTAGCTGAGCAAAAACACTAAAAGTGATTTCCTTGAGGTTATTATCACTTTTTCATGATGGTTTTTGATGTTCTTTATTATTAATATTAGCCAGGGTAGTCTATTTACTGCTGTAATCATATCATGAAAATACCAAATCAGTCTGTGTTTTAATTATGATATAAATATGATTTTTTCTTGAAATGAGTACTTTCATTTTTAAACAGATAATTTTCAGTTTTTCTTAAACTATATTTTAATTAAGTACACCAGTTTCATTTCTCATGGACCTTAATCTTTTCTCTAGAAACAGATTTAGTGTATCAAGTAAAAAGTACAATACCTCTTTCTAGTAATTAAATAATAAATGATATTTCATACTTCTTTGTATCTATGAAATATGGTTCATAGTGTGACTAATGCCCATTTGTTTATTTAACTATAGGTTGATACCAATCTTGAAGTTTTCCAAAGTAGGAGACATCTACTTCTACATATAAGCATTTACTATAAGGTAAGCAATATTTGTATCTTAGAAACATTACACAAGTTTTAGAATTTTCAGACTTAACACTTAGTTGGAAAAATAATATTGGACTATTAGAATGCTTATAAATCCTAATTTAAAAGAACATTTTCTTGGAATGGAATTCTGTTTTATTCATTGAAATTTTATTTTTAATTTATTTTGTGGTGACAAGAGGTCAAATGAAGTATCTTTCTCACTTTCTCCATCTAATCTTTTGAGATAGGGTCTTCTCACTGAACCTAGAGCTTGCAATTTCTGCTGCACTGGGTGGCTAGTGAGCCTTTGAGAGTCCATGTATCTCTACATCTCCAGCCCCAGGATTATAGACATGCCTGGTTTTTATGTGGGTTCTGGGGATCCAAACTCACATCCTCATGTTTACACAGTACTTTACCTAGTTAGCTATAGCCCAGCCCAGCCCAGCCCTCAGTAGTTTTTTTTTATGAAATGGAAGTAGCCAAGTCATGTGGTATACTAGCTGATAGTAATGGTCCTTGATCATTTCTTCTAAGTATCCTTTAGTAATATCATTCTTAAAGTATAACTGTGTCAACACCATCTGAGAAGTTGTCAAAATGCATATATTCAGGTTCTGCTTTGACATGCTTATTAAGAAACTCTAGAAACAGGACCAAGAAATATTTCATAAACCCTCTATGTAATGATGCATCCTGAAAGTTAAGAACTTCTATTTCAGAGCAATTGTTTTACCATCATTTCTTTAGTGTATATGTCTATATATGTATGCATATAGTTTGTAAGAAAATGATCGGGAACATCAAATTATTCATGTATCAAAATATTCTTTTGTTGTTTTTCTTTAGACTGGTTGCCTGATGACTTTCCTCCATAAGATGAAAATTCAAATCTTGGCTGTAATATCCACTGTATCACCATATTGACTGTATAGAGTTCTTGAAAGTTATCTTTGCAATGTAAGTCGTAAGTCATTCCTCCTTCTCTTTGAAGATGAACTAATATTAATAGAGTTGGAAAATTATTAATGACTCACTTTTATTACTGTGATCAGAGGATAATAAGTGTGTGATAAGGAAAACATTGTGATTTATTTATTATACAAATGAACATTTCTGACCCTTTTATGAGATCTTAACAATTCACTTGCCTTATTTGCATTTCAGATGAATTTAACCAATTAAATAATGGAAACAACTTGGTTTTGATTTCTATGTTTATACTAGAATCATATGTATTACTATATCATATTTATTATAGAAATACTCATGTTATTTAAGATCAATAGGACATATGTTAGCTTACAGGATAAATAAATTAGAAGAAGTCAGAAACTCAAAACAAGATCTTAAGGAATGGACTAATATGAACCTCACGTTTTAAGAACAATTAGAAATTTCGGCTTTTGTACTTATTCTCAGGCTTATGAGGCAAAATTTTAAAGGAGTTTTGCCTTGAGTTTGGACATTTATCTCATGAAAAAATATTTTAATAGAGATGAGCATTTGTATAAGCATTATAGATTCCATATTAATGAAAATCACTTGTGTCTATTCCATCATGTTACACATTACTGAATTTACTGTGTGTATATGTATCATATATATATAATTTCATATGTATGATATTTGGTGGTAATTATGATGTTTTAAAATTTATGATCCATATTTCTTGAACATATAACTTAACTACAGACAAGTGACCAGAAAAAATGGTAATTTAAAATACTTCAGTTAGTAATAATATGCTAATTTAATAAAACTAGAGTTTGTGTAAGATTGAAGTTTATTTATTTGTAGCAAGAGAATACTAAAATAAAAATCTGAACTGGTTACTTAAAAATATCATTTAGATAGTTGAATATATACTGATCAATGACAGAATATCCTCACATCCAAGCAAATTGACTTCATGTGCTTATATTTAACAAATGCTATTGATAAATTATTATACACGCACATATAAGCTTAAATATACATGTGTATAAACACACATACATGTTCTTAAATCTGCAGGCAAGTCTAGGTACTAGAAGATTTACAATAGTTAGCATAGGTGTCAAGTGAAAAATAGAATGCTGTACCCTGATGAACGGTTTCTCTATACCACATTTCTAGCATAAAGTGAAAAAAATGCTAAGCTTGTTTGTTTTCTTTGCAAGATCTTAGTATGATTTTGTCTGGGAAACAAAGTGTTTTTCCATCCCTTTCTCCTGTAATATCCATGTGTAGATCTAGTATATTAAGTATCTCTTCCTAATTTGTTTTATGTTAAAGACATCTTTTTGACCAGTTGCTCATTTATTCTGACAGCCAAAGGCTATCTCCATATAATGTTTTTATGAACTTCTGTATGGAAAATAATTTCTGAATACTTAAGAAAGTATGCGTAGCAATATTAACATTCTCCTCTCACAGATTATAAGCCTACTATTAAGCCACTGAATTTTTAATTTTTTTACTAATATTAACAAAGGAAAATGTCCATTAGTTAAATAGAAATTTCCAATTTCAAAAGAAATTTGAATATTAAGGAATAATTTTAAAGCTTATGACAGCTATTTAAGTTAGTTTATATTTCTGCAATATTTATTAGATTATCTGTAGAACTCCCTAAATTTTTTACACAAGCCCAGATATTGTGATGAATTCTATTTTTCATAATGGTACCTGGAACATAACAAATCATTAGCTTCAAGTAATTCAGTGATAATTCTAGGAGAATTATTTTAAGGTAGTCTTACAGTTGCCTATTGAATGTTCTAGCAACCAATGTATATTCTTGCTCCCTACATTAATTTTTCTCACTAGAGTAATTACAAAAACCTGAAGTAAGTCAATTCATCCCACTCATGTTTAAAAGTGTGATTTGCATACTCACATAGTTGGTCAAATTGTACAAATATTCACAATTAAAATGGCTTAAAAGAAAAAAGCAACCCATTATATAAACCATATTAATATATTATGTAATCATAATAAAAATACACATTAACTCTTTAATTCATATTTATGAGGATAATATATAGAGAACCATGATAGGTTTAATATTCTCATAGACACAAATAATGCTGTTCCTTAATGATTGAACTGCCAAAGACTGTTCTACAGATGTCAAATAAGATAATTCTATTGCTGTAGTTACACTTGAGTTACATGTGAATTCTAAATAGTTTTACTATTCTTATAGCTCCCTAAATATTCAAGATATGAATGCTATCTATGTAAATATTCTTTAAACATAATAGAGATTTTTCATTCCTTGAATTCAGGAAATAATGCCTAGTTCAAAGACTATGTCCATGATAGACTTCATTTACTTTCCTAGAGTAATTTGTTTGAACAGCTTAATAATATATTAGAAGATCAATGTAATCACTTTAGATGATACAAAATTATATATAGTTGCACTCATCATATTTTTACAAAAATTTAAATTCTTGATGCTCCGTATTAGTAAAATTTTCTGATCATGTTATATCATATACTAGCTATCAAACAACTACACTACATGTTTTTAAGACTCAGGAATTTTGTGCTTCTCTATAGTCTTGCTTAATTTTTCATGCAAATTTGGTAGTTTCATTTTATATTTCCAAGTAACAGTCATTATTTCACCTGGCATTAAATCACCTCTGGGCATATAGAACAAGTCATGAATTAGATGCTATCCTTATTCTCAAAGAATCCGGAGAATTAATAATATAATAGAAGATTTCCATAATGGTATTTAAAATGAGAATAATGAAATATACAAAACTCAATAATGTATGTATGAATGATTTTATAATTATAGAATTAAAGATATCGTATTATGTATTAGTTCTATTTTGTCCATGATATTTCATCTCAATTTAAGTTGTTGACAGCCTCAGTGTTGTACTATAATTATCCTATAAAAGGTATTTATATGACCAAACACCATCTTTATTGTGTTTATATGAGGAAAGAGTTGAAAAGAATGCCATTTTGATTTTTATGAGTTATATAATTGCGTTTAATCCCTGAGAAACATGTTTGAACTTACTAACAAACTAAATACTCGATATAATCTTTGTGACCTTTATTTTCCATATTTAAGAGTGCTTATATGCATTAATAACTTCCTAGTAGTCACTTTGCTTTTATAGAGGGTAAATCTGTTTTGAACTTATTTCATGTGTTTTTGGTGTAACATTAGCTTTAAAATACTGACATTTTCTCTTAACATTTATCTTGCCCCTAGTTGATCTACTGACGTCACAATGTCAGAAAAAAGATTCAGCAATCTCACTTGGGATCACATCATGACACTGGATCGAGTGTTAGGTGAAGTAATCCCAGTTCATGGAAGAGGCAATTTCCCCACACTGGAGGTAAAACCAAAAGACATTGTTCATGTTGTGAAAGATCAACTCATAAAGCAGGGCATTATTGTTAAAGATACTAGACTGAATGGCTCTACAGCAAGTTACATACTCGCAAGCCATAATGGAATCAGCTATAAAGATCTGGACATTATTTTTGGTGTTGATCTACCAAGTGATCAAGAATTTCAGGTTGTTAAGGATGCCGTTTTAGGCTGTCTACTTGACTTTTTGCCAAAAGGTGTTAAAAAAGAAAAGATTACTCTAAAGACAATGAAAGAGGCATATGTGCAGAAAATGGTCAAAATTTGCAATAACCATGATCGTTGGAGTCTCATTTCTCTTTCAAATAACACTGGGAAGAATGTAGAACTAAAATTTGTCAAGTCACTCAGGCGACAATTTGAATTTAGTGTAGATTCTTTTCAAATTCTTTTGGATTCCATGTTAGATTTCTATAGTGTCCCAAATGCTAAGCTAACCAAAGAATCTTGTCCGGTTGTTGTGGCTGAAAGTATGTACGGGGATTTTCAGGAAGCAATGATACATTTGAAATACAAGCTTATATCTACCAGAAAACCTGAAGAGATCAGAGGTGGTGGTCTTTTGAAATACAGTAATTTGTTGGTTCGTGACTTCAAACCTGCTTGTCAAAAAGAAATTAAGACTCTGGAACGTTACATGTGTTCTAGATTTTTCATTGATTTTCCTGATGTAGCAGAACAGCAAAAGAAAATTGAATCATACCTCCACAACCATTTCATAGGTGAAGAAAAAAGCAAGTATGACTACCTTATGACCTTGTATGGAGTTGTGAACCAAAGCACTGTCTGCCTCATGGGTTATGAAAGAAGACAAACTCTTAACATGATCACCCTTTTGGCTTTGAAAGTACTTGGAGAACAGAATGTTTTGCCCAGTACAGACAACGTAACTTGCTTCTATCAACCTGCTCCATACGTTGTTCTTGAGGGAGGGTACCCAAGTTATTATGTAGCATCTGGGCCACCACTTGTTTACTTCCAGCCACGCCCCACAGTGCGGTTTCCAGTACGGAATGGTATGATGTAAGAAGTACACATACCAGAAGCATTGCTGAATTACATCTGAAAAGCAATTTTCCAAATTCTATAAAAGTTAAGATCTATTTTTCTGTAGTTGCCAACTATTTTTCACCAATTGCAGCTTAGATAATCATAGTAGATAAGGTATCATCTCTAAACTCATTTTTAAGTGAGCTTCAAACGTTGTGACTGTGAAAATTTTCAAATGTAGTAGAATACTTGAAATGATTTTTCAAATCTTACTGACACTTAAAACAAAATTCTCTGTGACCAGTATATTAAAGATGCCTACATCTTTGGCTGAAGTGTAAAAAAACACATCTCATGTTTTAAAATGAAGATGCATAGTGAAGACATAGTACAACATCTTTATGTTCAACTAGTTCCTTGTTAACACTGCTTTTCCTTAGCAAATAAGAACATGAAATTTTAGTGCTCAAATTGAAAACACCTGATTTCAATGATAACAAATTTAAATGATGTTAAAACAATGGATTGTAAACCTGTGTTTCCCAATAAAATTTGTTGGGTTGAAAATACTACTAAAGTTTGAAGGACCACTGGAAAAAATATTCTGGAAAACATCAATTTATCCCTCCATATGGAAAGAATTTAGCTAATCTGTGGATTGAAAACATTCCTTTCATCTGAACAACCAATAAGTAACTTAAAATGGAGGGTTTTTTGACTCTTAAATAAATTGAAAACAAAATGACCAACTTCAAATGTGAAACTTATCTCATCATCATCTCCTAAGAAGAAACTAATTGGGACAAAAAGATAGAAATAGCACTACCAACAAAAGAAAGTTAGAGATTTTAGCCATGACATTTAAGATTTTAGGCTTATTTGATCAACATCCGAATACATCTGGGTAATTTCATCATTAGTAACTGAAAGCAATTACCACCGATTGAAGCACTTTCACTTTCCCAACACCAAAGGTTAGTTTGCAGTATGTTCCTTGATGTTAGAGTTCAGTTAACACCATACTTTTTCAGTAATTGTTTATATTTGCCATTATTCTGAATATTTAGTCAGTACATCAGATATTTGCTGGCAAATATATGAATGAGATTCAAGATAAATTTCTGTCTTGATGAAAAGAGCCATTGATATGTTATCTGGGATGGTACCAATAAGCTGATCTGAATGAATGTCAACAGACCATCAGAAAACTTAAGTATTGTTCCATCACAATATGAACCAGCAATCAAGATCTGAGAATGTATTGAAATGTGTGTACCTACAGACTGTATTTGAAGTCTCTTCTTGGCAGTATAGTATTGAATACAAAAGCACCACTTCTAGGGAATTTTTAAATAGCCAATATTTCTGACTTTTTGTACCCATAAATCACTGGCCATTGGGGTATTTAAATAATTACATGTGTATTATGGAATCCCAAGGCTTTAAAATATTTGGATTTATCTCTTCGGGTGGAGAACAAATAAAAATATTAACTACTACACTAAGAAATTGTATCACTGTATCTTGTAATACATCTTGTAATGGCTAAAGCATATGGAGTTTTCTTTGTGTCCTACTATATACACTTTCCTTTTCAGAAAGTAGGGAAAATACACACACACACACACACACACACACACACACACACACACACACAAAACCCCACGTGCGCTTGTGTGCACACATATACTGAAATTACTCATCAGGAAATAACAATTCTAAAATATACAGGGAACTTACTTGAGAATAAAAGGATTGTATAAGTGATGTCATTGCTAGAGGTTCAGTATTTCCCATAGTAGTTGAGCAATAGATTGTGAAGTTGTTTGGGTGTATCTTATCACATCTGCCATCCTGTTGCTTCTTATTGGATTTGCTATAAACTATTTCCTAGAATGTAATTTTGCCATATTATTATCCCAAAGCTTTAAATTGCAATGTATAGAAAATGTCCTAAAAGGATCATGCTTTCTCCTGACATTTTAAGTGTCTTGTTCTCTTGTAGAAAAAGCTCAACATATATGTCTAATATTTTCTCAGGATAGAGAATCCAAACATGTTGAATGGGAAGAATACTGTAGAAGAAAATGCTTTAGCCTATTCCTCATGACTTTGTTTCTCTAAATAACATCACCACTCTAAGCCTTCCTTTTTTGCCTACTAACCAGAAAAATATGTATTCAATAGCATGGCAACATCTCTCCAGGACTAACGTAACTGCCTTAAAAGAAGTAGTACTAATTCCTTCTGTTCATTAGTTTCATATGTGGGATTGTTTTTTTCTAAGTAAGCAAGTACCAGCCTTTTTTACCTGAAGCCACTCATAGAAGTCATTCAGTTATTTTAAAACCCCCTTCCAGCATATGTCATTCTTTACCAGGCATATACCAGATTGACCTTGACTGTTTTGATCAATGGTTAAATCCAGGAGTAAGTTTTATTCTGGAAGTTTTTATTTTTTGTCTCAGTAATCTAACCAATACCAAAAAAGAAAAATAAGTATTTCTAGCATTTCTATTAGCTGAATTAACTGGGTTTCAGCCACAGACACATATTCTTTTAAACTAGAATATTCTTATAGTGCACAAATGTTCACATATAACAAAAGATCTAATAGGGTGTGTAAATTCAGCTTTTAAATTCAGAAGTAGTCTTCTGATAATAACTACTCCACTACTTTAAAATGATATCATACTAGGTGGAGTACACACTACTTGGAAACCAATTTTATGTCACTGTTATTTGAACATAACACATTTTATTTGAATGTGCTTTGGTTATGGAAGGATGTGAGATTATTTGAATGAATTAAAACAAAACTCATTTTATAATTGTAAATCTTGAAAGAACAACAGATGTTTTATAGATGATTTTAATGTATGTGGTTTATATGCCCCCTCCGACAGACCACCCTGTCCTGTAAAAGGAATGCCACATACATGCACCTTTTATTGCCTCAGAATAAAATCATTAACCCCTGTAAATAAATAAAATCGCCTCCTTAAGAGATAGTGTATCTAGTAGCTACTCCTCAAAATTATTCCAAATTTAAAATAATAGGTTAAATGTCAATACAATTAATTTTATGGTCTATTACATAATTCTATACTAATGGATAAATAGAAATTATTCTCTCTAAAATGCTAACTATTCTATTACACATTATAGATATAACCCATTCATACATATTCCTTAGGCTAAGCTATGCAACCCAGAAGCCTGGGGTTGGATTCTTGTTTGCGGGTTTGTAAAGACCTGAAGGTAATGAGTAGGAGATACTAGTCTCTGAAAATGTCTTTACAGAGCCATATGAGGATATTAATATACTACTTGACCTTTATTTTTACTATAGTAGAATAACTTGAAATTTTTCTATATAAAATTAAAGCTTAATTCCAAAGAAAAATGGTAAAGACATTAATTCCTTAACTTGTAAAATCAGAATTAAAAGGTTATTCTTGTATATTTATAATAATCTCTTCCAAATGCTTTGAAATTAAAAGTAATCTTAGTAAATCATTGATATGTACATTTTCTATTTTTAAAAGGTTTTACAATTTTAGTGCCTCTCACCAATAATATTAGAGTCAGTACAACTCATATTAGCAGGTACTTGAACAAATAAAACTTTAAATCATAATTTTATTTAAGCCATATGGGTGACATTCTTGAGCCTAAGTATTTCTTCATACCTATCTCCTTTACAGATTTAAGAGTTTAAAGGCACTTTTGGTCCTCTGACTTCAAAATCTAATATCTTTTCAGGCACTAAATTACAAATACCTATTGTTCACTAACTATTTAAGTTGTATTTTCACTATTGAGTAAAATTCATTCCAATTCAGCCTGTAAGTTAGGAATATAACTTAAAACTGGTTCCAAGAGTAAAACTGTCTTCTTGGAAATGCACCCAAATAAATCTTTAACGTCAAAAGCAAGATACTCTTCTATAAAATACCATATCTGTGTACCAAAACAGAAACTATATATTTGAGGTTATATGATTTAGTTATGTTGAGGGCTATATTTAAACACACTAGCCATAGAGCTATGTTGATTTCAGTGGCTGTTTACTAAAACAAGCAGAATACTTGTAGAAGAGATATACAACTCCTGGTAAATCTTGACAGCTTCCAAAATAAAGGAAATTTTATGAATTTTGCTGGAGGAAGGTTCTTAAGTTATCTTTAAAACATATTTAACATAATAAAACATTAACAATATAATTATTAATAGAGTTTCATGTAGTACTTTGATACATGTAGACATTGCTGAAACTTAAATCTGATTAGTGTATGTATTTCCTCAAGCACATGTCTGTTATTTATGGTGAAAACTTTGAATGTCTTCTAGTTTTTGGAAATTTACAGACATTAGTGTTATCTATAGTCATTCTACTGAAGAGCAAGGTTTTAATTCATCCTGTTTCTTTTCCATATTGTCCTCATTCGCTAAAATGGCACTTCTATTTTTCTCAGTGGGAGGATAGAAAAATTAATACTAGTAGTAATTTTTAGTGTTTACTTTACAAAAGATTAATTCCCTGTAAGGAGGGAATCTGGAACTGCTGATTTTTTTATTTAATAAGACTGTAGCCATAGATGTTTCATTCTAGAAAAGTAATTTCTGTGTATGTACTGTAGATAACTCAAATGTAGGCTCACTGATTTTCACGACTTCTCATGTCAAGGGCACATTAACAATCTTAAGTCAGAGGCTGTGATTCTGAAAATATATGTTAACTTTCTGATTCTTGAAGAATCCTTGACTTCTAGGCAATAGTCAAAGAAATTACTCTGCTTTTTCTGTCATTTGATGTCCAGATGGGTATAATTTATAAGCTAGCTTCTTTTTTTAGTCGGGCACATTGAGAGCTATTGTGTACAATGTTTTATGAACTTGAACTATTCTGGAGAATTTTTTAAAGTAGTCACATAAAAAATTGACAGTCAAAACACTAAAATTTTAAGATCAAAAGGCACTATATAAAAGCATACAAGCTATACATTACATAAAATTCCTATACATTATATTAAAGATAATCAATAGGCAACTTGCATTCCTAAATTACATTTTAATATCACATTTATTGAATAATTTAGTTCAGTACATATTATATATTTCATTTAGTAAGCTTAACTACCCCAGTAAGATTAGAAATAACCCATTTCATTGGATGAAATTTTCTGCTATCAACCCATTACTGTTAGATAGTGTTGTCTTACGGTTATGTTTGCCATTTTATAGGTGGCTGTGGAAAATCTTACTTCCTATTTGAATTAGGATCTCCTGCTTTTTTTTTTTTTTGGTTTTTCGAGACAGGGTTTCTCTGTATTGTTTTGGAGGCTGTCAGTCCAGCCTGGCCTCGAACTCACAGAGATCTGCCTGCCTCTGCCTCAGGAGTGCTGGGATTAAAGGCGTGCGCCACCACAGCCTGGCAGGATCTCCTGCTTTTTTTAAAGCAGGTCACATATACCTTGAAAGGTACTGCCACCTTACATCTATACACTGCCATTAGACTTAACTGAGTAGTGACCTCTTTGGCAGCTCGTGACTTACTTATTAACCTTTACCTAGTCCCTGTTTAGATGACATGAACTGAATGTCAGTAACTTTTCCTTCTGGTTCAAAAATGTATTAGCAAGCACAAAATATTTTTCTTTAAAGTCCTTCTTTAGGTTAATGGAATGTCTTCTGCAAAACAAAGAAGGAAAACGCTTGGCTAGTCCAGACCATAAACATGTCAATAAATAATGAATGAGGGATGATTAATTTGAGTTACTTTCCCATACAGAATCCAAAATGACTACTGAATACAATAAAATTTTACACTATAATTTCAGTAAATTCATCTTACAAGAAGTAAAAGTAGAACATCTCACTTCAAAACTAAGCAAGTTTTAGTCATAAGAATCTTCAAGATATGTTTAAATATTCAGTTGATTTAAACCTAATCGTTTAACATGAAGGAAAATGTCAGTGATACAAATGATGGTCAGACTGGGAAAATAAATAAAAACATGTTATTGTAGTTGCCCAAATCCATACAAAGGTGGTTGCTAATAGCATTTTTTCTCTACTATTTCAAGAAAATGATCTTTTAAACACTGAATTATATGTGTTTTGTTTTAGAAAAGCAGGTAATATAAATATGGCTTTATAACGTTTAAGGTGCCTTTTCTATTTTTATAGTTCATTTCACCACTTTTAGTCTCTTAGTGCAAACATTTTGAAGTGCTGTAGTGACTTACCATGATTCTGTAAATAAATTTTTTTCAGAACTATTTCAGGAGTGGCAGATTTAAGCATGTCAAAAATGTCCAAAGTTGGTGAACTGTGTATATTTGCTTTAATGTTGAATATATGTTAAATAAGAATAGTTTTTTTACAATGTTATACAATTTCAAGGCTTGTATTACATTTTTGGAAAATGTATTTTGCTGTTTGACAAAAATTAATATATGAAGAGTGAAGTATCTTTTGTGGAAACTATTTTTGATTCTGATAATACTATAAATGTATGTTTTATTGTTTACCATATAGCTCTTATACTTGTATCATTTGCTTTGTTTGTTTGTAAAGATGGTGGAAATTTTAGTATAGATATTTTTATTAGATCAAAATAAAATTACCATGGAACATGCAACAATGCACCAACTGCCAAATGGATAAATGCCTATTATTTCAAGCACAACCACATCAGCTGCTTAAAAGTATTTTTAAAAGAACTATCATGAGTTTTTTTTTCCCAAAGTGTTTGTATAGAATCACAACTTTAATTACAGGTGTCAAATATGGAACACAAAAAGCTACTGACCTTAAGTATATTATGACTTTGTATAAGGAACTACTATCACCATTTCTGGCAAATTAACTGATAACATGATCCAATACAAAATACTATCCACAAACTTGGTTGCTTTTCCCAATCTTGATATGGGGGAAGAGCTAGATCCCATTTCAACTTGATGTGCCATGCTTTGTTCAAGTCCATGGGAGGCCTGCCTCTTTTTGAATAGGGAGAGAGGGGTAGAACAGAGGTGGGGGAAGGGAACAGGAGGAGAGGAGGGAGTGGAAACTGTAGTCAGTCTGTAAAATAAATGAAAAAAAACTTAATTATAAAAAGGGGGGAGGCCGGGTGGTGGTGACACATGCCTTTAATCCCACCACTCCAGAGGCAGGTGGACCTCTGTGAGTTTGAGACAAGCCTGGTCTACAGAGTGAGTTCCAGGACAGGCTCCAAAGCTACACAGAGAAACCCTGTCTCGAAAAAGAAAAATGAAAAGGGGGGGGTCACTCAGTATAGTTTGCTTGAGCTTTAAATAGGCATAACAACTGTCTAGCCACTTTCCAGGGGTTTAAATTACAGTGAAAAAGAAGCAGTAAATAACTTTAATGAAGACAGAGTATTTTCTCTTCATAATGTAAACTAGATGACTAAGGTTTGAAATCAGTATGTGGTTCCTCAGGAAAATGGGAATCAGTCTACCTCAAGATCCAGCAATTCCACTCTTAGGCATATACCCAAAGGATGCACATTCATACAACAAGGATGTCTGTTCCACTATGTTCATAGAAACATTATTTGTAATAGTCAGAACCTGAAAGTAACCTAGATGCCCCTCAACTGAAGAATGGATAAAGAAAATGTGGTACATTTACACAATGGGGAACTACTCAGCAGAAAAAAAAACAATGGAATCTTGAAATTTGCAGGCAAATGGATGGCACTAGAAGAAAGCATCCTGAGTGGGGTAATCCAGACCCCAAAAGACAAACATGGTATGTTCTCACTCATATATGGATTTAGACATAGAGCAAAGGATTACCAGCCTACAATCCACACCTCCAGAAAAGCTAGGAAACAAGGAGGACCCTAAGAGAGACATACATGGTCCGCCAGAGAAGGGGAAAGGGACAAGTTCTCCTGAGAAAATTGGGAGCACAGGGGAATGGGAGAGGGAGTTAGGAAAAAGAGAAGGGGAGAATGGGGGAGGAGGACATGAGGGAGCAAGAAGATTGAGTCAGGGGAAAATAGAAGAGAGCAAGAAAAGATATACCTTAATAGAGGGAGCCATTATAGGTATGAAGAGAAATCTGGCACTAGGAAAATGTCCAGAGATCTGCAAGGATGACCCCAACTAAGAATCTAAGCAATAGTGGAGAGGCTACCTTAAATGCCCGTCTCCAATAATGAGATTGATGCCAAGCTAGAGCCTTCATCCAGTAGCTGACAGAAGTAGAGACACTCACAGCTATGCACTGAGCCAAACTGCTGGAATGCAGTTGCAGAGATGGGGGAGTGATGAGCAAAATGGTCAAGACCAGGCTGGAGAAATCCACAGAAACAGCTGACCTGAACAAGGGGGAGCACATGGTCCCCAGACTGACATCTGTGAAACCAGAATAGGACCAAACCTGGCCCCCTGAATATGGGTGTCAGTTAGGATGCCAGGGCAGTCTATAGGACCTTTGGCAACGGAACCCGTCTTTATCCCTAGTATACAAATGGATTTTGGGAACCCATCCCCCATAGAGGGATACTCTCTTAGCCTCGACACTTTGGGGAGGTCGTAGGCCCTGCTCCAAATAATGTGACAGACTGATGATTCCCCATGGAAGCAGAAAGGGGATGGGATGAGGAGTCAATGGGGGGCATGGGAGGATGGGAGGGAGAGGGAACTGGCATTGATATCTAATATAAGATTGTTTCTAATCTGAATAAAACAATTTTTAAAAAGAAAGCAATAGATGATAGTAAGAAAAAGAAGGCAAAATGACTAGTTTTAATCCTTTAATATACAAAGATGTTCTGCCTTATGTAACGCTTCAAACACTACCAAGAATCCTAATTTCCATATTTACAAAAAACTTTAAATTTAGTAATAAATGGATATACATACAAATCCTAATATATTCCTGTATTGGTTCCAC